GAGGCCCGCACCCCGGCCCGGCGGGAGCTGGGGGAGGTGGGCGCGGCCGGGCCGCGCGGGCTGGCCCTTCGGGGACAAGCGGGTCCGGGGAATGCGCGTCCGCTCCCGTCGGAGGCCAGGGTGCTGCGGGCCAGGACGAGGGGCGCGTCTAGACCCTCGGGGCAGGGGCGGGACCCGCCCTCCCGGCCGCGGGGTCTCTCTACATCCATGGCACCCTCCCCCACGGTCGGGCTGGGACACTCGCGTCCTCAGGACCCCTCCCTGGAGACGACGCAGGGGCGGCGAGCTCGGCGCTCGGCGACGCCCGGGACAGCGGGTGGGTGTGAGGGGCCCGCCTCCCCGCGTCCCGGCCCAGGTCCCGCTCGCGGTGACAGCTGCCCGGCCCTCCCTCCGCAGGCGGCAGCCTCGGGTCTCCCGGAACGATGGTGAAGTTGGGGAACAATTTCGCGGAGAAGGGCAGCAAGCAGCCGCTGCTGGAGGATGGCTTCGACACCATTCCCCTGATGACGCCCCTCGATGTCAATCAACTGCAGTTCCCGCCCCCGGATAAGGTAAGGGGCTCCGGGCCACTCACCCCTGCGCTGCCGGGCGTGCACCCCCAAATCTCTGGCGGCGGCCGTAACAAAAGAAACGCGCCGCGTGCGCCGGGGACGCGAAGTGGGGGCGGCTCCTGCAGGCGAAGGGAGCCGGGCGGGGACGAGGTTCGCGCGCGGGGCCAGCTCGGTGCTGCTGGGAGCCCGCCCGGGTGCCAGCTTCGTCCTGACAATGGAACTCGGTCCGAAAGGTCTCTTGGGTTTCCCTGGAGCTGCCCGGCTCCTCCCTGGCTCCCTGGTACTCGGGGCTCTGGATCTGGGGTGAGCCCAGGAGCGGGCGTGGCTGGCCCTCGTGCCTTCCTGGGTGGTGCGTTTCCCGGACTTGGCCCCGGAGGTGGGGAGCCCCCTGCTTGGCCGGACGGGCCCTCCCGAGGGAGTCGATGCGCTCCTTGCCTTTGCCCATCCCTGCCGCACTGGCACCCTGCGCCGAGGGTGCGTGCCCGCGCACAGAGCCTCCCTCTTTGTTCTGTGAAATCTCCGAGTGGGTCCGGCTCGCTGGGCACTGGCACCAGGCGGCTGGGAACAGCCCCCTCGTGCCTTCCCTCCAGTGTTCTTGCTGAACTTGAAAGAAGCGCCTCCTCTGAAGAGCACAGTATCCAACTCAGTAGTTCCTATCTGTTAAGGGTAATATTTTCAAGACTTAACACTTAAAAAGGTAAACATGACCTTTAAAAGTCAAGAGGATTGCTTTGTAAAACTCCGATCTAAAATCATCCACACACGTTGGCTCTGACCACCGTGTGCTGCTTCAGACGCCCTGACCCGGTAAGCCCGCTCTGCTCCCCGGAGCACTTTACGACTGCCTCAGTCAGTTCCCTGGTGAGAGGGCTCTGACTCGGACTTGGCGCTCCTTCCCCGTTGGTGATGGCTGACCACGGGCAGGGGTGACGTAGGAGGGGCCTTTCCTTGTGGAGGCTTCCTCTACTCCCACGGTGGACCCTTGCGAGCTGCCTCAGCTCTGGGAAGTGGTTTCCACTTTCCCAGTTCTGTGTCCGTGTAAGGGGTCGGGGGAGCAGGCAGGAAGGTGCTGGCGGCAGGGTCTGCTGGTCGCACTGTGCACCCCAAGTCGCCAGGCCACTCTCGGGCACCGGTGACCCCTGGGCCTCAGCTTCTACCCCCTCTCCCTGCCTGGCTGTAGATGTGTCCAGTTAGCAGAGCCTGGCCTCGGCCCCCACAACCTTCTCCTGCTGCCCAGCTCAAGGGTGGTGACAGCCTGAGCCGGTGCCAGGGGCTCCTTGTCCCAAGGTAGCACCTCCATCAGGTGACCCCTCTGCTGGGCCAGAGCCTCTTCTTTTGCCCTTAGTCTGTTCATTCCAGAACCATCTGGCACAGCTGACTTACTGGGGGAGGAGGCTTTCGGACAGGTCAAATCCCTGCTCCTCTGAGAGGCAGTGAGGGTATTCAAAGAAAGGGCGTGGGTGCTCCAGAGCAGGGAGTTCTAGCAGGAAATGGAGACTTGGGCTAGAAGGTTTCTGTCATCTTTTAGGAGGAAACTGAGTCGGAGAGCTTTCAGGACCCGTCCCCGGTGGCTCAGCTGAGGGTCGTGTCCTCTGGGGTGCGTCGTCTCTGCAGCGCCTCAGCTCCGCCCTCCTCGGAGACAGCCACCTCTCACACAGGGCCTCTCTTAACCCCACAGCAGCAACAGCAGCGAGTTACTCACTGAGGGTCAGAGAGGAGTTGTCACCTGCCTCAAGTGGCATGGCTTCTGAGGCTCCAGTGCAGTTGGGGTACACATGGAATCCACGTGAGGACACGTTCTGAGTCCCGAGGTACAGGAGGTACACCAGGGATTGGCAGAGAGCAAGGGGACAGCAGTGCAGGGACAGTCACACCTGATGGCAGGATGGCTCTGTGTACCCGGCGTTCTGTGTGCTGCATGGATTTAATTTCCTTCAGGTGCCGATAGTGCCGGGAGCTAACTACTGTCATTGCCCCATTTCACAGACGGGGCTCACCCACGGTCCTCTAGCCTGCTTGTCACAGGTGCAGACTGACTTGAGGTTGGTAGTCCCCACCGTCGACCGCGTCGCACACCGGAATGGCGCCCTGGGTCTCCGCATCACAGCATAGTGAGATTCTACAGGGGAGTGAAAGGGCTTCAGTGGCCACGTGCATGCTCAAGGTCACTCCGCTAGTCGAGTACACTTGGGATTTGAGGACGGCAAGGTGACGCCCAAGCACTGCCTCTAGAAGTGGGCTCCTTGGGGTGGGCACAGGCGGCCGACATGCGCAGTGCACCACCTGCCCGCACTGTGGGAAACTTGCGTGTAAGAGAACGGAGCGGGCAGGAGTGTGGTTATGAGCTTTGTGGCCGGGGGATCCCTTTCAGTGACAGCTGGCAGGGGCCACTTTTTCTCCAGCTCTCCCCCTGCAGCTGACTTCCAGGGCCACACCTCGGGCTGAGAGTCCCTCCAGTTTCTTGCCAGGAGCCAGCTCCTGAGTTGCTGGATTCTCTCTTCTATCCTGGGTCCCACCATCATGGGGAGCAGGCGTCTCCCCCAGACTGGACCACACAGTGAAGGGGAAGAAGAGCATGGCAGTGGTAGTGTTCTCCAATCCAGCAGCCACTCCCTGCTGCCTGCTCTGGGGCGTGGGGCTACAGACGGAACCCTTCAACGCTGCTCTAGAACACCGCCTCGTCTGGCGGGGACAAAGACGTAAACAGTTCCTGGCAACAAGGCATGATGACGGCAGTGCCAGTGAGGCCAGCCAGGCTCGGCCATCCCAGGGAGAGGCTGGTTACTGGGGCAGGGCTTCCTGGGTCCACCTGAAGCTGGTGGAGGGACAGAGGAGGTGCAGGGCAGAGGCAGGGCCAGTTCTCCAGATAGAAAACGTTGCCTGCTGTGCAGTAGAGAGCAGAAGGAGAACGCGTGCAGAGAGACCCTTTGGGGTTGTGGCAGGGGCAGGGGAGAGACAAGACAGAGAGACTATGCTGTGGCCTGTCTCCTCACAGGCTGACTGCCTGCGCCTTCAGCATGATCCTGGAGGGGTGGGAACAGTGCACCAGATCCTCCCTCGTTCTGCCCATGGCGGCCCATGAAGATCAGTGAGAAAGCAGGTGCACCTCCCCCTCTCCAGAGCCACGAGTCCACTCCAGAGGTGAAAGGAGCACTGGGCCAGGGGTCACCTGTCACGCTGCATGCCCTTCTGCTACCGATCACCCACGTGACCTGGTCAGCGGGCTTCACTTCTCTGCCCCTCGGTTATGATGTTTTTCTCCTGGGGCTGCTATCAGGATTATTAATGGGTCATTTCTCTGAAAGTCCTGGCACAGAGGATTTCCAGTAAGTGGTGACTGGTCTCATCCTTTTGTGAACTACTTCCTGGCAAAATGGTGACTTTGTACATCAGTGTCCCCAGACCTGGCATCTTTGGGCCGGTGTGTCTGAAAGCATCTGGCTGTACCTGACTGTCTGTCCCTCTGTTTCTCGGATAAGGTGGTTGTGAAAACTAAGACCGAATATGAACCTGATCGCAAGAAAGGGAAAGCGCGTCCTCCCAAGATAGCCGAGTTCACCGTCAGCATCACCGAAGGTGTCACCGAGAGGTTCAAGGTGAGTGGCCCTGGCGGGGGGAAGAATGCCACGTCTGCCCCAGGAGGGTGCTGTGGCACCACAGAGATGACCTGCACAGGGACAGGAGTGGGACATGACATCGCTTCTCTGGTCTGGGCTGATCCCAACTGGACAAACCCGACAGCTTCCAGCCGTCCCCAATAAGTTGTCACCCTTGTGGTTTTAAAAAGTTTCTTTCTTCTTGACCGTGGTTTGAGCCCAGACCCAGCAGCTCGAAACTCATGCCGGGCGCGTGTGCCTGTGTGCTCAAAATCCTGAAAGGAGAAAGGAGGAGAAGGGATTGCAGCGTGGCCGTCCCCCCAGGTGGTCATTTCTCACTTTCTGTCTCTGTCTCTCTACCGATCACCCACGTGACCTGGTCAGCGGGCTTCACTTCTCTGCCCCTCGGTTATGATGTTTTTCTCCTGGGGCTGCTATCAGGATTATTAATGGGTCATTTCTCTGAAAGTCCTGGCACAGAGGATTTCCAGTAAGTGGTGACTGGTCTCATCCTTTTGTGAACTACTTCCTGGCAAAATGGTGACTTTGTACATCAGTGTCCCCAGACCTGGCATCTTTGGGCCGGTGTGTCTGAAAGCATCTGGCTGTACCTGACTGTCTGTCCCTCTGTTTCTCGGATAAGGTGGTTGTGAAAACTAAGACCGAATATGAACCTGATCGCAAGAAAGGGAAAGCGCGTCCTCCCAAGATAGCCGAGTTCACCGTCAGCATCACCGAAGGTGTCACCGAGAGGTTCAAGGTGAGTGGCCCTGGCGGGGGGAAGAATGCCACGTCTGCCCCAGGAGGGTGCTGTGGCACCACAGAGATGACCTGCACAGGGACAGGAGTGGGACATGACATCGCTTCTCTGGTCTGGGCTGATCCCAACTGGACAAACCCGACAGCTTCCAGCCGTCCCCAATAAGTTGTCACCCTTGTGGTTTTAAAAAGTTTCTTTCTTCTTGACCGTGGTTTGAGCCCAGACCCAGCAGCTCGAAACTCATGCCGGGCGCGTGTGCCTGTGTGCTCAAAATCCTGAAAGGAGAAAGGAGGAGAAGGGATTGCAGCGTGGCCGTCCCCCCAGGTGGTCATTTCTCACTTTCTGTCTCTGTCTCTTCAGCACGTGCACACACCCGATAGCACAAATCTCTCTCAAAAAAAAACATTTTGCTCTTCATCTCCCAACCGATCACATATTACTAATTTTTATAACAGGGAAAACCCATCCATACACTTGCTTTTAGACAAAGGTTATGAACACATGAAATCACTTAGCAAATACTAAAATACCTACTTACTGTGCCAGGCGGGAAACAGCAGCAGAAGTTAGTACACAGCCCTTCCTGCGTGCCAGACAGGCTGAGTCCTTTCCTTGGTGAACTCAGCCAAGCCCCCTTCCCCAGGAGGCAGCAATCTTGGTATAACCCGTTTTACAGACGGTGAGGCTGAGGCACAGTGGCAGAGGCATCCCGGCTCCAGAGCCCTGTGTGCCGCCTCCTAAGGAGAAGGAAGGATGGCCGTGACGGGCAGGGTGTCAGCCACGTCTGGGTGGGAGGAGCCTCCCCAACAGTCTGGGTCTGAGGCAGCACTGATCGAGGAACACGTGGGACACTGATCTTCAGGAAATTCACTCTTTGGGAAACCTGAGAGAGAAGGTAAAACGGTGGCCCTTTCCCCTGAAAAGTGGTGAATGGGGAGACATCAGTGGGCCCCAGGCCTTGAAGAGTGGCCCTCGCTGGCTGTCTGGACGCTGCCCACTGGTTGTGAGTGGGGTGCACAGGGCTCGTACACCCCTACCCTCTGCCCTCTCCAGAGTACCTTTCTAGGACAGTCTTGTGAATCGTGGAGGGCAGGCCCGGGGAAGTAGATGGGCGTGGAGTCTCGGAGGGGTGAGGTGGTTTGATGGAGCCAGCAGGAAGCCAGGATGGAATCTGACTTTCAGTCCCTCCTCCTCCCCATCGCCCCACAGTGCTCTCAGGGCCTGCCTGCCTGGTGCTGAGACTCCCCTGGGAGTCCAGAAGCCTTGCCGTCCTCAGCGTCTGGAGGGGGCTGTTGCTGAGTCGGCTCACCTGACCCTGCGGCAGCCCTCTTCCTGCCGACTGCCGAGAGCAGGCACCTTTTACAGATGGGGACGTCGAGGCACAGGAAGGTCTGGGCCGGTGGCCTCTCTGGGGTGCAGGTGTTGTCCGTGCTGAGATGCTCTTTCCGCAGCTCCTGGCGGGGCAGTTCGTAACTGGCCGGTCATGGCCAGGCCCCAGACAGACTATCATGAAGCCAGCACCTCTTTTCTGCCCCGGGGTGGGGGTGGGGGGATTAGCACGTGCCTCATTCGTTGCCTGTCACCTGTCCTGCTCTTTCCCCTGGGATCTGGTGCCTCCCGGTTGAGGCAGGAGTAACCTCAATTTCAAGGTCGTGATGTCTTCCATCTTGAGGCTGGATCCACCTGGGTGTCAGCGCGTGGCTGGGCTTCTCCTGCCCGATGTGACCTTTGCCCCGACAGCCCCAGCATTTTAGGTCCCCACAGGGCAGGGGCAGTGTGGCCCTTGAACAGCTCCTCCCTCACCGTCGCATGCCCCTGGTGTGCCAGGTCCCCAGGTCTCTGACCTGAAGTGCCGGTGACGTACATCGTCCGCCAGGGCTCCTCACAGCTGCGGCTGGGACTGCGGTTGCCCGGCTCCTGTTGCCTTAGACCCTGAGGCTCCCGCCGGACCAGCTCCTGGCGACGGAAGTTCTGCCTCGTCTTTCTGCTTCCCCCTGCTGGGCTGTCTAGAGGGCCGTGTATGCAGTAGGTGCTCAGACTGCTGCACCGGCCTAAGCCTCTTCCCTGTCGCACGTGTAGGCCTGCCGTGCGTCCTGTGCTAGCGTTTGCAGCCTCCTTCATAACCCACAGGCACCCCGTCGGGGCGTCCCTACCGACGAGGCTGTGAGCCCCACATGGTCACAGGGTGGTGGGTACTCCGTGGGACTCTGGTTCCAAAGCCAGCGCTTCCCCACCACGTCTCCTGCCATGGGTACGGCTCTGCAGACCCCACCCCTTCCCGTCTCTGCCAGTGCCAGCTCAGGTCCACCGTGGCCAGGAAGCCTCCTGGGTCCCACTCAGCTGGGATTCTCTGCGCCTGCCTGCTTTCCTGCCCTTCGTAAGGAAGCAGTCACAGCATCTGAGAGTGAGCGAGCGCTCCCATGAGCTGCGCTCTGCCCCAAGCTCATTATCCCCGAATGGTATTAATGCAGTTCTCACCTCCTGTAACTTCACACACACCTCCCGAGGGAGGCACCGGGATGTGATGCTTTTACAGTTGGGGAAACCGAGGCAGAGAGCCCAAGGCCAGGCAGCCAGCCCGCTCTTGGCCATGGCCCCGGAGGTCATGCCCTGAATGCAGTTGTGTGGGAAGCTCTTGGCCCAGGCACCCACGGCGCTGCTGGGTCGTTCTGCTTTTACAAATCCTTTCCTTTTTTCATTCAAAACCCCTCTGCTGCCCTGTGGTCCTCCATCGATTGCCTGGTCACTCTCCTTCCCCCTCAGGCAGTGGAGTGCAGGCCCAAGAACCTGCAGCTCCTGGTGAAGTTGGCCTGCCTTTTTTGTCCTCTCTCCCAGACACGCCATGGTCCCAGCCCCACCCTTCCCCCCGCTGCCCATCTCTGTGGAGCTGGGCTGGCCCGTGCCTGTGACCAGGTGTACCTGCAGGGTCTAGGGAGGTGGCCCTTCAAAGGAAAGGCCCCTCAAAGTTGGTGACTCGGGAGGAAGCAGGCCACAGCCACCTCCAGAGATGAGGACATCGGCCCAGAGTAAAGGCACAGGGCCTCAGCACTCACGGCCGCCTCTTCTGGCATTCAGTGCTTGCTCAGTAACAGCTTGGTCAGTAAGCAGGTGGCTGATGGCGCTGTGGCCTCCCGCAGGTGGGGCCTGCCGCGGTCTGCCCGTGGGTCCCTCGCATGGAGTAAGGGCAGTGGTGGCTCGCAGGTGGAGTCCTCCCTCTGGGCCCTGTGCTGGGGTGATACTCACAATTCTCCCCTGCCCAAGGCCACAGTCAGTGCCCGGCAGAGGCAGGTGGGAGCCAGGGCTGCAGTGGGGCCGGCCGGCCTGGCCAGGATGCCCAGAGCCCTGACTTGCAGCTGAGCAACCTGCTTTCTGAGGGCACCTCCTACCTTCGGGATTGCCCGAGGCCCTTCTGTGCCAGCAGGGAGATCTCCCCGGCTCCCCGCTCCACAGTGTGTGGGGGCTGTGAGCTGCAGCCTCCAGAACGGTTTCCCCAAGTGTGTCTGGGCCACTTGTGTGGGAGAACCTGACGTTCAGTTTTAACACAAGCATCCTGGACCCTGGAAACACGCATTCTAACAGGTCTCCTGCAGAGTCTAACATACACCGTGTCTTTGAACCTGGCTGGGGGTGCTTCTAGCACGAGGCAGGGAAGGATCAGGAGGGCTGGTGCCTTTTGGAAATGCTGACAGTGCCTGCCCTTCTGGAATGTTCTCCCAGCCTTTTGTTGCGGGTTATATTTTTGGTCTGGCTGATTACCTGCACACAGCCAGGCGTGCTGCTACTGTGTGACGTTCGAGCCTGGATGGGGGATGGGCGCAGTGGAAGGTCCGATCCTCCTGGCCCACGCGTGCTCCTCCCACAGGTCCAGTCCCAGTCTTGGCCGGGACTGGACCTCCTGCCATGGTGTTGCTGACCGGACGGCGTCTGCGTGGCCGCTTGGCCCAACCGTCGTCTTCGTTCTTTTCATCTCTTTTGTGTGCATCGCAGGAGCGAATTCCTGCCACTCCGATGTTGAAGCAACAAGTAAATAGCGTGTCCCCCTTTTGTCTCTAACTCGTGCAGCTCGGGAGCGCCTCATCTTTATGTATCTTTGGATGGCACCCTTGAAACGAAATGTCTTTTTGGATGTTACTTTATGATTCTCACTCGGGATTAATCTCTTGGCTACGAGGTTGCTAGGGTGGTTGCTAGGTAACTGCCGAGTGGGGAAGGGTTTTGTGAGGCTCCGCCACACAGGGAT